CTTCTTCCTGATTTCCATCGTTGGAAGCATCAACAGGCCAATTGAGGAGAGAATTGAAATAATCGCGAAAATCCGGTGATATGAATTTCCTTTTTCCTTTTATAATTGCGAAAAAATTAGGGTAAAAATGGGGAAGAGGCGGCGGAATTCAATCTTTTGGAATTGCGACGGATAGGAGAGAAAGAGGCGATGGCGAATGGCGATTTGGGTTTGGTTGAAGAGAAGAAGCAGAAATTGAAATTAAAATTCAGGAGCATTGGAGTTGACTTCTCTGGGAGATGAAGACGAAGAGGAAGAGAGAGAGAGTTTTCGCAGGTTGACAACCATTTGAGAAACCGATGGTGGCCACGTATAATATCGAAATTATTAAATTTTATTGTAACTAAAAAAAATGTTATTTTATTAACTTTAAATTAATGTCATTTTATATAATATAATGATTGACTGAATAATTAATCAACGATATAAATATTTGAAGTCGATGTCAAAATGTTAATTGAAAGTAGTACTTAATACCAAGTTGTTAAATTTATTTTATCAAAACACTAATTTATTTTAATCGATTAAAATATTTTATTGTGATCGGTTTGAATTAGTATATTAGACCATCAAATAACTAATAAAAATTAGTATAAAATATCTGAAATTGAAAATAATATACGTATATTTAAACATATGACCTCTTTTACTATGAAGTAGAGTTCATATTCTATATGTTCGTCAAAATAAATGATATTAATTTTATATTTTTTAACATTAAATCAGAAGTACGAATCCAATTTTATATTTTATTATATCAAAACTAATAATCATTTAATTAATAAAACTTAAAATATCACTAAATAAAATAGAGTTTCCTTTAAATAATAAATACAAATGGTCAAAACAAACCTAATTAGATGGTAATTGATATATATCTCTAAAAGATCGTGAATTAGATCCCAACTCATATGTTGTACTAAAAAATAAATAAACTCTCAAGTGTTGCACTGAAATAATAATAATAATAATAATAAATAGATAGGTACAAATGAATTCAATATATAGATATTTGTAAAATAATAAATCCTTTAAAACAAATGAGTCATCCGTTTCGCCGTCCAATGACAGCCACCGCTCATCCATCAGGTCGTAACTTGAAAGGGAAGTCGAATGACGACATGTCGTTCTCATCCTTTTTATAAGGCTGACTTGTAAATTTCATTTCATTTGCAATACTTTTTTTTTTCTTTGCTATACTACCATACATTTTCAAACACTAGTTTAAATGCAAGCCATTTTTGAGAAAAAACAAATCCACTCTTTGTGAGCTATTTTACAGATATATAATCCTCTTCTACTTCAATTCATTTTTATTTTATATCAAATTGAATATAGCTCAACAGTTGAGACATGTTGCAATTTTTTATTATTGCATTTGTTGTACTAAAAACAATTGTATTTTATAGATACAAATTTTTAATTATAAATTTAGTCTATAACTTTAAAATTGTCTCAAGATATGTAATAGTATATTATGTACGGTAGATTTAAGTCATATTCTTATTATAACCCAAATTGAATTTTGTCCCGGTTAGAACTATGATGTTTCAATATTATGTTTAACTAGTTTGTGAATTTTAAAAACATCAGGTAGATCATTAAATTAAACGTTCATAGATTTATTATAAAATTTTAAAAGCAATGATCTATTATAAACAAAGTTGTAAATATTAGAGACTTACCATACAAATTTTAAAATTAATAGATTAATTAGACATAACATTAAAAGTTAAGTTTAGAGTTTGAACTTGTACAGTACCCTGCAATCTTATGTCCAATAATAATAAAAAAAGGATATATAATAAGGAAAAAAAAGACATATTCCATTCATTTCAATTTCTACAATTGTGTTATGTATAACATGACTTGTCCTTAAAATAATCACAATTTACATTTTGGATTCATAAATGTAAAACAAGTTTGAAAAATGAAAAATAATACTATAAATAATGTTGGGAATCATCCAAGCCAGAACCAGAGTTGACCAAATAATAAAAAAAAAAAATATATATATATATATATATATGTGTATATTATTGAGGAAGGACCAAATAAAATATATAAAAGATTTATAAGCATGTCTTTCTGATATATATATATATATATATATATTGCCCTTTCCTAATTATCTGACCTGATCCTACAAATAAATAGTTATTTTATATACCAATATTTTTGTTCAATTTGGCTGACTAATTATATTATATTATTCGATTTATAATTTTGCATTATTTATTAGTTGAGTCAGTTTTATTGAATATGAATATACTACAAAACTTATGTCGCTTTCTTTATATATATAATTTTTACGAAGGGTAAAGACAATAAAAAAATAATTAAAAAACAAAGGGTCCTAACATCCAAATTACAAGTGAATTTGTGAATATTAAAATTGACAGACGAATAACTACTTACTGAAAATTGGTAGAAATTCAGAGAATAATTTAGGTCATTTAAGAAGATAATTTTATAATTATTTCTCAAAATTTTTTAAAAGGTTCATAGAATATTCACTTTTTGTTTTTAAATTGTGGCCTACTAAATTTATGCAAATTAACTAATGTCAGGTAAACTATCATCAACCAAATTTAATATTCATGGATGGAAAAGACATCATTCAAAATTGCTAAAATGTAACGACCGAATTCAAACTTTTTTTTAAATATTAAGAATAATTTGAAAAAAAAAAAACCAAACTTTAGGACTAAAAAAGAAAACCGGAAGGAAAAAAGTTCTAAGTTGGGCCGAAGCCCGATGGGCTAGCAAGCCCACAAGCCCACTGGAACTCAAATATTCAGAAGAGGAACCAATAATTTATCTGACGCGCCCACAAATGCGATCCGCTCTCATTCAAACTGGCGCCATAACGGCTACATCTCAAAAGCCACAAATTTCGATTACAGTAGATTTCGAAAGGAGGTTGGCGAACTCCGTTTGAATTCTTTGTTTTCGAATTAGTATTCAAGTTTTGGAGATTTCGCTTACACCTCCGTTCCATTTCCGGTGTCTTTCAATTTCTAGGGTTTTGCTGCAGTTTGGAATTTTTGAAGCACGCTAGGGTTTGCAGAATTCAGTGATGGATCTTCCTCCCGAAGTTGACGATTACATCAAGGAATCAATAGATCATGCATTAGGTCTCCCTGTGTCGACGCAGACGCTGGAGTTGAAGCTTCGTATCTCCCAGGATGCTCAGAGGCGGCTTGGCAATTATTGCGATGTTCTACAGTCCAAAATGAAAGAGAAAGACCGGTTGATTGAGCGCAGTAGGGTTCGTATTTGTGGTTGATTTCTTCTTTTTCGTCTTCTTTGTTTTTTTTTTTTTGGGTTAGTTTTGCGTTTTTCACGACATGGGTTTTTACCTCAATGTTGATAGGCTGAAGCGACAATGAATGCACAAGCTCTCAAGAAATTCGTCGAGGAGAACCGAAAACTGGCTACAGAGTGCTGTTATCTTTCGAACCAATGTCAGAAATGGGAGAGAGAGTGCTCTTTATATGATCATGACCGAGATGCATTGATGGAGTTCGGGAACGAGGCGGATCAGCGTGCGAGGGAGGCTGAGAATCGTGTTCGTGAATTGGAAGCGGAGGTTAGACGGTTATCAGATGAACTGCAGTTCTTTAAACACGAATATGAGATGAAGAGGGTAATAGCATCTCCTCTCAAGCTCTTGGGCGTTGTTAGTTTTATTTATGCATCTTCTCTCAACTCAAGCACCTGGGTGGTGTTAGTTTTACTTATGAAAATGGTAAAATGAAATAGCATTTATTAGCAAACTAGTGAGAATTTCAAATTTTTTTCAATGGAAGGAAAGTAAAGGGCAACTAAGGACATAACATCCACGGTATTGGCCGCATCAAACCAGCAATTTGATTAGGTAAAAGTGAGGTGTGCAAACTTCCATTTCCGGAGAGCGCAGCTCCTATTTGACCGGAAAAAAAAAATACTTGGGTTTACTAGTGTATGTAATATTGCATCCTAGATTGTTTGGATACTTCATAGGCTTTCGATTTTATGTTGAGTGCTATGCTAAAAGATGAACCCTGAGCTGCAGTGTATATATATATACACTCTATACACACACCATTATTTGTCCTTTTGACTGTCTGTTCATTAGTCAAAGGTTCATTGTCATAAAGTGATGATATTGTGTCTCAAATGATTTAATTAATGGAATTGATATTAGGTAACTGTTTAAGTTTGATGTTAATTTTTATTGAAGAATGTTAAAATGTCTCTATAACTGAATAATTAAAAGGTTTATGAGGATAATCTGAGCTTAGAAGTTGCTGTTTAGTTAGTTCATCCAATGTCATCTACTTTGTTGATTGTGTTAGTTGATTGATATAGCCATAGGATAGGTGATATGTGAAAGCTTTTCTTAGTTTAGGAATTATATCTTCAAATTCATATTAAATTTTGCTCTTTCCTTTCACCTCCCACCATTGTCCAAACTTTTAAGATGAAGTAGTCAAGCTGCAGTTCTTCCATTCATTGAAGTTCAAATTGATGAATGCGCATGTTTTACAATGATTCAGGTTGATTCATCTTCTGATGGTAGAGATTTGGAGGATAACTTACTCGAGTTGGTTTTACCAACGTGTAATTGTAATGACAGAGCTACATCTGCCCGTGCATTTTTAGAAGAGAGCGGTGATCAAGATTCAAGCCAAAAGCTTGTGAAAATGTGGAATTGGTGAGATTTTTTTCCTCCTACCTTGTGATATGTCACTACACTATGCCATAAAATTTATGGAACTAAAAAGAATATAATGATAGAAGACAGCATCTTAATAATACAGTTCCCTATGTGTTTGGATTTTTAATTTTGTTAATCTCTGTTGACAATTTCTCCTAGCTTAAAGCCTTCAACTCAAAAGGCACTATCACTAGCTGCCTATGCGAAGGCCGTTGAGAAGGATTGTGAACATCTGAGGGTAAATCTTCAAAGAGCTGAAGAAGAGGTGAGGATTAGCCTTTTTACTGGGTCTCTTTTTGTTTTATGCCCTGCAAACCTTGTTTTGCCCCGATAGTGAAGTAGTTATTCTGGTTGGTTGTGCAGGTGAAGTTGTTGTATGAAGACAATATTCTTCTTGACGAGGAGAACAAGAGGTTGTTGAAACTGCACCAGGAAGATAAAATCCAACATTCCGGCGATAAGCTGGGCAATAGTGGTTCTGCGAAGGTGAGACACATTTATTCGTGTACTAGGAAGTTATACTTTTCTGCTGTCTTGTACAAGTTCGACAACTTAGGCTCCATTGATATTGATTTTGTTTTTAGATTTACATTTTTAAAAGTTGATGCCTACTATTTTACCATTTATTTGGCACGTTTTTCACCTTCCTAGAAAACACACTTAAAGTCTTGACTAAGTTTTGAAAACAGAAATGGTAATAAACAGCTTGCCTTTTTTTCAGCTCGCCAGTTGTTTTTTATTTTGAGATGTAACTCCTTCTTTTACTCTTATGTAGACAAACAAGCGAAAATCATGCCTGAAAATGAGCAGCCCAGTTGAAAGGAAGGTTGATTTTGATGACGTTGGTTCGACACGACTACCTCTTTCGCCCTTGCAACATAACTCCCCCGACTCGAGAATGCGAAAGAAGTAGTTGCAACCCAAAAATAGGTCCCCTCCTCCCTCCATTTTCTTTGTGGCTATTTTGTTGCCTGTGCAGGAAGCATATAGATGATTTGGCTAACATAGCAGTAATTCTGAAATAGAGAACTAGAACATATCCTTTGCCAGTAAGTAGTAAGAACTATTCTATTAAGTTTTCTCTGAATGGAAGAGCCTTTCTTCACTTCTTTGTTTTTTGTGCTGCCCAATGTGACCAAGGAGCTGTTATTTTCATGTCAATGTACCTGAATTCTAGTTGTACCAATTCTGATTTTAAATGATACTTTAGACTTTAGATAGAATGTTGTAGATTTTTTATGCTTAATTAAATACAATGTACTTTGTTTTGGGTAGACAAACTTGTTTGTCTAAAGTCAAATTGTCCTGTTTTTTAGGTGGTGCGTTGACTAAGGAATGAGATTTCTAGAACAGTTTGTTTTTTTTTTTTCCTAAAAATGAAAGATGCCACACATTAGGCATTTTTTTATAAACAAGTTTTAGAACTCTTGAATTTTTCAAATAAATTCCGTAAAACATGCCACAGTTTTAGGAAAAGAGAAAATCCATACTTCTACTGGATTTTCCGATTTTTTGTCTGTGGAGGAGGGGTTCGGCAGTATGTTACACCAAAATTTAAAAATTTATTTTGCTTTTGCAATGAAATCTAAATTAATATACCAAGTTCAACACAGTATAAGATATTTGTATTTGTTTTACATGAGTATGACTCTATGAGTTGGTATAGACATATATTTTTAATTAAAAGTTATTGCTATGTGTATTTTTAAAAAATAACTATTTTAGTATTTATTTACAAAATTTTAACACAAATTTTACACACAAGAATGATAGGAAACTATGACTATATGTTAATAAATTTTTTTTTTGAGATATGTTAATAAATTTATTGAGTATAGCGTCCTACTAAAATTGTTATAAAAAAAAAGGAGATAATTATTCCAAAAAGAGAAAAAAGTCTCAAAAAAGAAAAAAAAAAGACAAAATAGAAAAAGGGACTAAAATAGTCACTATTGAAAAATACATAGACCAGTAAGAAAAAAAAAAGAAAGAAATAATGACTTTGAAAACAGGACATGGATCAATTTTTTACAAAGGGCCACAGTAGACTGATTGAAAGAGATGTAGTGGTAGTTCATTTGTTTTGGATACAAAATATTATGGGTTACAATTCCGTCATTCCCACCTATTACTTCTTCTCATTCCCACCTATTACTTCTTCTCATTCCCACCTATTACTTCTTCTCAGGGCAATGATGGATACTTTACTTCTTTTCAGGGCAATAATGATACTTCTTCTCAGGGCAATGATAGATACTTTACTCTTTTCAGGGCAATAATGAAGTATCCATTGATATCGTCAATTGAGGTTGTCTAAGAATGGAGAGCGCTAGAGATTGACTATTGATTTTTCTCGAAAGATGGTCGAGCAAAGAAATTAAATCATCTTCCACAGCGAATGTAACGATGATAATAATATTATTTGGCTGATAAATAATAAACTGACTCTTAGACAAAAACTTAAATATAAAAAACAAAAATCAACAAAAGTTAAAATAACAAAAGAATATCTAAATTCTAAAGAATATATGTGTTGCGGCACTCTCAAATTCGTTAAAAATATCTGAGAAATCCAATCTGAAACGTCGACGTTTTAATCCTTTTCCGAACTCCCTTATCCAATCCATGGCGTTGCTCTGTATCGCTTCCCAAATTAGAAGAGAGTGAACAGAGTACAGTGAACGCCGGCCATGGCTCTGCTTCGTCTTCCTTGTTCTTCATCTTCCTCCTTCATCCGCTCCAAGCAACGCCACCCAATCTTTCTCGCATCTCTCTCATGCCCGCAAAATCCATCTCATTCTATCCATGGCGACATCCATCTCTCTCTTTCTACTTCTCTCACTCACCACCCTTCCATTTCCATTAGGGCTAAAAGAACCAGCAAGTCGATTTTCCAGTTTGTCTCGGCCTCCCATGACGAAACAGTAGCGAGAGTTCCTTCTGAAAGCGAAGGTCCGAAGATTGGTGCTGATGAATTTTCTCGAACCAGATTGCTTGCGCAGAACGTGCCTTGGAATTCTACTCCTGAGGACATTCGGTCTCTGTTTGAGAAATATGGAACTGTCCTCGACGTGGAGGTATGCCATGCCCTTGCCCGCCGCTCTTGTTTTTCTCTGTGAAAGAGAATTCCTCTTTCCATTTTTGTTTGATGGATTTGGTTTATTTCTTTCAGCTTTCGATGTATAACAAGATCAGAAACAGGGGCTTGGCGTTTGTCACAATGGGATCACCTGAGGAGGCTCTTACGGCGCTCAATAATCTCGAATCGTATGTAAGCAGGCTGTTGTTGTTCTTAATTGGAATGTTTTTCGTTTAGCTTATTTGTTCAGTTTCGTTATTGAGGTTTAATGCAACGTTTACTTTCCATCATGGAAGAATTAACGTATTAGCAGTTCATTGCGTTTAACTTAAGTACTAATTTGGTTTGTGTGTTTGGGGATTGAAAAACCACAACTGATGAAGCAGAAAAAGACCAAGTTTAAATTTGTATCCTGCCCGTGTCCAGCGTGTTGCATTTGCTTAACTTCTGCTTTTGAAAATGTTATTACAAAGGAATCAGTTGTTGATTCTGAATTTTGAACTCTTGTTAGCTTTATTTAATGTACTTGTTCACGTTAATGCAGGAATATGAGGGTCGTACTCTGAGGCTCAATTATGCAAAGATTAAAAAAGAAAAACCTTACCCCCCTCCTGTGAAACCAAAACCAGTTACTTTTAATTTGTTTGTGGCAAATTTGCCATATGACGCAAGAGCAAAGGACCTCAAGGAGTTCTTTGATTCGGGGAGTGGTAATGTAGTTTCTGCACAAGTTATTTTTAATGAGAATCCGAGAAGGTCTTCTGGATATGGTTTTGTGGCCTTCAAAACAAAGAAGGATGCTGAAGCAGCCATTTCTGATTTCCAAGGGAAGGTAATTTCAGTATTGCTACTACCTCATATTGATATTGTTAAAACGAATTACCATAGAATCATCAAGTGAGAAGATCAGCATTCATGTGGTGCGTTCTCTGTTGAAGTGCAGATTTTCATGGGGAGAACACTTCGTGTTGCCCGTAGTAAGCAGTTTGCGAAACTTCCCTCCGAAGATAAATCCCAATCTGAAGTTACATCAACTGATGTTAGTGTGGAGCTAGCTAATGCTGCTGCTCAAGTTTAAAACACGAAAGCTGGTGGACTAAAGAGTTTGCCATTGACCTTTTATTTTTCTTTTTCTTTCTCTTCTTTCTTTTTCCTTTTTGGAGGTAATGCTATCTAGTTATTTGAGTAAAGAACATATTACTTTTCTCTTTCCTTTTACTTATAAATCTCCTACATCTTATGTTTAAAGGACTCGAAGTTGGATACCCCAAAAGAAATCGCACATTACTGAAAATCCATATGGACTAACGAGTGTATATTACATCATTTATTTTATCTTTTCCCCATTCATTTAAGTCTCATTACCCACCCTTGACTCTTGAGTTATTTAAGATATTTAGTTGACCTCTTTTTCTCTTTTGTTTCTTAAAGTCCCAATAGTGCTTTATTTTGATCTCCTTTACTCCTTTCCGAAGAATCAACCTCCTGTTTCAAAAAGAAAAATGATGAAGGTTTTACTAAACGATTGCCCCAAGATGAGGTAATAGGCGTCTTTACTTTGTCTTGTGATCATAAATACTGGTGTACCTTATTAAGGTATTTGTTGAACAAAGTTCCAAGTTGGCCAAGGGGTAACATAGTTTTGGTTTTTGGTTTTAACTTGTTATGAACCTTATTCTTTTGTTGCATTCATCTGCTTATTCTTCTTTCTAGGAATAGAACCTCTTTTCCTTGCTTTATCATCAATAAAATTAGTCGTGAATACTGAATCCTGTGGCTGTGGTATTGCTTTATCATAGAAAGCAAATCGACATGTTTGATTGTGGCTAATTTTAATTGCGACACCATGATCTTAGTTAAAATAAGGTAAATCTTGCTACATATGCATGTTCACACGATCACATTGGGTTAAACCCGGCAAATGTTAACATAACTCCTCTCCAGGTTGTGGCAATTTAGAATTCATAGTCGTTGTCCGACGGATTTCTTGAGTGTTCGCGTTTATTTATGGCATGAAACAACTCGAAGCATGGGTCTAGCTTATTGATGACCCTAAGTTTTCTAGCCTTTTACCGTAGCCTAATAATTACATTGTTTTAAAGAGCCAGGAAAGCAGGAGAACGAGTATTGAGGAAGTGTATGTACTTATACTGATTTCACTTAAATGTCACCTGTCTGAAAACCTGAGATGAAGGACAAACTCTCTGTCTTCCTCCCTACCTCCATTTCTTTTTTCTGCTTGGAGAGAGCAGTGGCGGGGGACTGGCATGTACACTTGAATTGGCATCTTATGATTATGGTGTTCTATTTTGTCTTCCTATATTTCCCCGGTAAAGCCTCTTGGTGGGGTTTGACGAGTCCTCCTTTCTCTTAGGTTGGCAACCCATCTTAATGCATTCTCATTCATGTGGACTACATTGCATAGTCACAGTATTGTATTGAGTCGAGAATGTTAACTGACGATTGGTGCAATTTGCTTTTTGATAGATAGATGGTTGGGTGG